ATTTTCACTTGCCCATGTCAGGGTGGAAATCCCATAGACATCAGGTAAGGGCCATGCATTTGGTTCTTCCTGAGCACATCTTTCTCCAAATGTCTTAACTATTACACTGACATTGCCAGCAAATCCACCAGTCCTTCGAATAAGAACTTCAGCGACGTTGAGTGTGCCATTCTTCATGTCCTCTTCAATGTAAATAACACGTGGACCTACGCTAAATGCTCCAGGAATAAAAATATCCGCAGTTACGATGTCCACAGCAGGCTTCTCAGACGGTGTGGCTGTCCCCGAAAGTGTGACGATATTTTCAGGTGTGGCAGGTATACCAGTTGCTTCAGTAACAATAGCAGCGATTTCTGTTGGCTGTGGAACAGCAGTTATCCCCTGGTGGTCAGGGGATGTGGTGGAGTCAGTAGCTGCAGGAACAAGAGCTGTGTCAACTGCAACCATCACAGTTGTCTTGGGATAAGAAACATCCATTTCCACTAGCCCATCATTATCCAATATTGTGATCGTTGCCACACTGAAATCCAGATTCAATCGTGGTCTCCAATTGGCATCAAACTTTTCGAGTCCGCTAATTTCTACTGATGTTAAATTGATATAAAACATTTCCTCTACCTCAGGAAGCTGGTCGTTAATAATAATTATTTCAAAATCCACCTCAGTTTGGAATTTTTTAAAAATCAGTTCCCCGTGTTGAACAGGCTCAAAGTCTTCCATTGGCTTCGCACTTCCTGCAGTCGTTTGATAGAGAACTTTAATGAGATCACTGTGGAACCCAAACAGCCTCTGTACATGCAGTCTGATCATCCGTATTTCCTCAGACACAATGACATTTCTTGAACTAGGAGAGAACTGAAACACTCCCATTGGTTCAATTTCAGCCACCGTAAATCCAGATCTAGAAAAGAATAATTTAACGGTGAAATAACTCACGAAAAATACGAATACCACTGTAAATGTTTGCTTTTCATATGTTTGAAAAGTTATCCATGAGGGTCCCCCTCCCTGCCATCGAGTTGATATCTGTGGAAAAAACAGAAAGATTTCTCCCAATTCATCTCCCCCAAATATATGTTAGACTTGGGACACTGTTTGCTGCTATGGTAAATGATTGTCAAGTTACCTCCCTGAAGGCAGTCAGTTACCAGACTACTGTCTGGTCCCACAAGTAGGGCCCACTCCCTCCCTAAAGGCTTGCAGTCATCAGTTTGGTCCCTGCAAGGTGGGTGTACACCCTACTGATAATGGTTTCTATATTGAGCCAGAGAACAGGTCAAACCAGCTCAGTGACACCCAAAGTTAGGCTGCCATCCTGAAACTAGGATCCGCCCATCTTGTCACATGTGTACCCCCAATCCCTCCTCTTCCTATTATGTAGATACCCCTAGGTCACCCCCCTCCCACTACTGTATTACCTATAGCACAACCCTTTCCTGTGACATATGTCTTCACCTGTAATTAGGGGGCTTGCACATCTCCAGAGAATACAAAAGCCTTGGTTAGCAATAAAGATCTCTCTCTCTTCACATGGACCACCAAGTGAGGGCTGAGGTGAACATGCTACCATGTTATGTGTCTGACTTCATTATTTCAATCTCTCTTCTATCTCTCGTGCTCTCTAAGACTTTACTATAATCTTTACTTATTATCACTGTACAGTTGCACCTACCGGACCTGGGATGATGTGTTAGGGGCTGGTTCCCTCACAGATGTCTATGTGGTAGTTACATAATTTCATGTCAACGTGAAGATTAATAAAAGTGTAGGGGTGGGGTCTAGCCTATCAATCAGAACACAGCCTGATGGTGCCTCCTTGTGGCCTGACCTTCTAATAAGGAGGGCCCTGGGAACGTCCCCCTTTCTGCCTTCACCTTCCTACTGGCTGATCCTGATGGCAGCCAGAGCCCTGGAGCTGCATCCACCACCATTGGATCCACAGGACTTTGCATCTACAGGCCTGTGATCTTCCTGCATTCTGCATCATTGCATGTGCCGCATGAATCTGAAGAGGGACTTATGGGCTAGTATTTGATTTATAGACTTGAATTGCACTGGGCTAGGTTGTTTCCTTGATAAACAATTACTTCGTGACATAAAGCTCTTTCTTAGACCTCTATGAGCATCTCTGGATTTGTTTCTCGGGCTAACTGGCCTAACACAGTCACCTCATAGCAACCTGTAGGACAGGGCCGAATTGCCTCTGTGAGTTTCTGAGACTGTAACTATTCACTGGAGGAGTATTGCCCATCGTTCTACCCCGGAGTGTCTGGTGGTTTTAAACGACTTTGGACCATGTGGATCACAGCTATGCCACCAGGGTTCCTACTGCCCATGGGGCAGCATATTAAAAATGGCATGGCTTTTCATCTATTTTAAAACTGTATTACTTATGCATGAAAGTCTATGAGCATAGGAAGTGTAAGAACTGGAACTGCCATAGAGAAGGAGGTGACCAGCAAGACTCATTAGCTAAGGGAAGAGCACACGGGTTTCTGGTCTCCTGTTCCAGTCAGCTGCGAACAGCTCACCTGGAATTTCAAGCTCTCTTGTTATCCTTACTGCACAGTGTACCCAAATCTGTGTGATGCTCTCCACTTTCTCAATTGTCTTTTCATCTCTGACCAGAAATTGTGGCTCCTATGCTGGATGAGGGCAAACGCCGTAAAATGCCCAACTGCTGTTGTCAAAGGCATTGGATCGTAGGACCTTGAATTGTGTTCTGTGACCAGACACTTTAAATGGCATATGTAGACTAGAAAACCACATTCGATGCTGCCTGCCCATATCCTACACACATACACACACATAAACATGTGTACTTGAACACAAGTAAGTTTGCCTCACACATTTTTTTCCATAAGGAAACAGAAGTATGTAAAGATTAACGATCATTCCCCAAATCACACAAGTAGTGGTAAAGTCAGGAATAAATTCACAAGTCTTCCTTTCAGGACTGGTCTCTGCTAGTCTGTCAAGCTCAACCCAGGTAAAGGAAAAATGAAAAAAAAATTAACAATCCCCCCACACACACACACAGATACCCCAAATTTCTATCTTTCTTTTCTAGGTTTCACTTTGCTTAACAAGCTCCAATTTTTCCCTCATTTCTGGAACCAAAGAAATTTATTAAATAATCACTAAATTATACAAAATGAAGGTAAATGTTAAATGTATAAGTGCTAGAGGGGGGTGAGGAAGCCTCAAGGAACTAGAGGAATATTGTATGTTTCATCAGTGCTATACTGCACCCTGGTTTACTCATCTCTTCCTTGTGATCCTTCTGTGAGGGGATGTCCCATTGGCTACAGAGGAGTTTGGGGTCTCTGCTCCGACCCACCTCATTCTCAACAATATGGTTTTTTGTATGTTTGTTTGGGGTCTTCTGAAGCCTGTTACCTGATCCCATCGACAACTCATGATCGCACAGGCTGGTGTGCTTCTTCCATGTGGGCTTGTTGCTTTTCTGCTAGATGGCCACTTGTTTAACTTCAAGCCTTTAAGACCTCAGATGCTATATCTTTCGATAGCCGGGCACCATCAACTTTCTTTATCACATTTGCTCTTTTGTCTTCAGCGATCGTGCCGGGAGGGTGAGCATCATAGAATGCCAGGTTGTTAAAACAAGTATTCTTGCATTGAGGGAGGGCTTGAGCACAGGCCCAAGTCGTTCCGCTACCTCAGTGTGTTGCCATATAGACATATGTATAATACATATATGTAAAAACATATATATATTACATATATAATATATATACATACATACATATACATAATATATATAATATACATACATATATATTACGTATACATATTTTACATATATGTAAAAACATAGGCCAACCCCTCTATTTTTATGAACTAATATAGTTACCTATGTACCCGCCTTTGTTTACACCTCTATCCATAGTTTTGGTTCCTAGATCTATCATCTGTTTCCTTTTCCTTCCTCCTGACCCACCATCATGCATGCCTTTCTTCCACCTCTTAGTAATTCCTCTTAGAGATATTGCAGTTGCTCCAACTCCCCAAGAACCTCTACGTCCTACTCGTTTATTTTAATTCCCTAGTTGTTCCCCTGTCTGTGGTGTTTGCTCATCACTCCCTTGCCCCACTTCCTCCTCCCTGCAAATCCTTCCAGAACTGTTGGTCCCATTGCCGTTTCCTCAAGCTTGCTTCTCATGCCTATCTTATATTTGTAGTCAAACCAATAAAAATGGAGACAAAACAAAAGATTGAATAAAAAGAGGGAACAAAAACTAGCAAACAAATGAAAAAGCATACATAATTCCAGGTCTGTCCGCTGACATTTATGACTATGTCCCAACCAGTTCTGGGGGGTTCAGGAACGGCCCCTTCTAACCTGAAGTCTATTTGGGGGGCTCCTGGGTTCCTTGAGGCATCCTCATGCCCCACTATCATGACCCCAGTTCTGCCTTTCACTTTAGGCTAGAGCAGAGCATGTAAACTGGTACAGATAAGAGCTCGTGATATGGAATTCAGTTCAGATAAACCTTCCAGGAACAGAAATTGGAGTAGCAATAGCAGGAGGGTAGGGGGAATGTGGGAAGAAGAGGGGAGGAAGGGGGAATCGATCGCAATGATCAACACATAACCACCCCCACCCTCAGGGAGATGAACAACAGAAACCATGGGGGAATGGAGACACCGGTCGGTGTTAAAATATGAAATAATAACAATTTATAATTTATCAAGGGGTCATGAGGGGGGGAGGGGAGAGGGAAGGAAAAATAGGAGCTGATACCAAGAGCTCACAAAAAATGTTTGTTTATAAAATAATGATGAAGTAAAAAAGAATAAAATAATTAAATGAAAAGTAAGTGTTTATAAAATAATGATGGCAATATATGTACAGTATGCTCCATACAATTGATGTATGGCTTGTTATAAGAGCTGTAAGAGTCAATAAAATTATCTTTAAAAAGACAAAACTCTCTCTCTCTAATAATATATATATTATCGCTAATATATATATATATATAAAATCTCTGTTCAAATTCTGGTTTCTTTATTTACTCAATAGAAGACCTCAGGAAAATTGTCATCTCTGTGTCTTAGTTTTTGTTGTAATAATAGAAGCCACAAGCTCCCCAAGAGTGAGGGCCTCTATTTTTAAAATGTACACTGGATACGGGTAGCAAGCCTCATGTGCTGACCAATACGTATAAATGACCCAAGTGCAGACGACAGACAGAACTTCAGGTTGTCTTGCTCCAATTGGTGGTGGGGGTGTGTGTGAAGTGGGCAGGTGGAATGAATGGAACATAAGTCAAAATATTACAATTGATGAAAAGCTAATTCTGGTTTTTGTTACTGTCGTCTTAATGTATTAAAGCCACTATTATAAATATGACTAGCTACCAGTAGCCGGTCCAGTTGTCAGGGCATGGCAGACCTGTGTGGAACTGCACTCTGTCAAGTTTTCAGTGGCTGACGAATTAAAAAGAGATCACCAAGTTTTTCTTCTGAGGCAGCTCTGAGTGGACTTGAACCAACAGCTTTTCCACTAGCAGCTGAACACCTTAGCTGTTTGTCTCATTCACCGAGTCCTCGTCTACAGCAGACTAATTCAATTGAGCCAGAGATCAAGATAACCTCATTAAGGCCAGAAGTATGACTCCCTTAAAAGGCATCCCCTCACCAATCTCCCCCCACGGTATCTAAGACACCACAACTTTAAAGAAAACTGATGCTGTGGCTCTTTCCGTTTTGACCAATACATTCCAGATAACACAGGCCAGGAAGCTTTCCGTTAAAACGTGGGTTGTTCTTACCGAAGTTGAGCTCCTCCGGGGGCACTGCTCTCCATGCCAGATAGGTGAACAGCAAAGGCCTCTGGTCGACCTGGGCTGGGGACTGTCCACAACACGACTTCTTTACTGTGTTCCCCGTGCGAAAATGAGAGGCTCCCTGGGAGCAAACGAGAGAGGAAAGCATGATATCACCGCTTAGTTCTTCTTACCTTGGGGCTCCATCTTTTAAAAGACAGTGAAATCCTTTCTTAGCCAAAGTCTTCTTTCAGTATGCATGATACAGTATGCCGAAATGACGCACAGAAGGCTCCCTAGAAGACCATAGCTTTCCAAACTAGCACCTCCTTTTCGGGGAAAAAAAAAATCAGAGACATCCCCTACCCACCCCAAACCCAGTAAGTAAATTTTTTTTAATGGTTGTATTAAGGGCTCATACTGCACTTATCACAATCCATACATACATCAATTGTGTAAAGTACATCTGTACATTCATTGCCCTCATCATTCTCAAAACATTTGCTCTCCACCTAAGCCCCTGGCATCAGCTCCTCATTTTTTTGCCCTCCCTCCCTGCTCCCCGCTCCCTCATGAACTAAATATTTTTTAATAATAGCTCATAATCCAAGTTAAAAGACACGTTTGTAGCCCACCTTGATCACTCCAGCACCCCACCCCACCCCTGCAAGGGGCAGTATCACACAATTTGGGACACGAGGGAGGACTCAAACCTTACTTTCAATCACCGTCTTCCTACATTTAGCTACTATTTTTTTCAATTATATTTTTCAAAATATAGTAGGGTGAGATTTGTATTAGGCAATCTGGTTTGAATTTAGTGTCAGGCAGGCTCTGGTTTAAGTTCTAGCACTAGCGTATCGTTCAGAGATGCTTATCGAAGTAGTTTGGCATCCTGTATCGTAATGTATGTATATTATTTTAAATTATTTTAGACAATGGTATAAATCTTGTAGAATGAAATCTAATTGGTGAGTTCCTAAGTATTTATTGTACTAATCACTTTACTTTTCATTAGGTTTGAAAATGTTTATTAAGGGCTCAAGTAGAAAGAAAATGTTTTGAAAATGAAGATGGCAACAAATGTGCTTGACACAATGGATGTTTGTATGGATTCTAATAAGAGTTGTATGAGTCCCCAATAAAATGATCTTTTTTTTAAAAAAGAAAAAAATGTTTATTATACAAGCTCAAATACATGGGAGGGATAGTTTGAAGATATCAGTATATGAGTGGGGGGGACCCAAAAAACCTAGATACATTTTCCAAGCTATGTATTTAAATTTTGTTCTGAAACAACCTTATCACCTTCAAAGTACTCTCCATTACACTTAATACATTTGTCAAATCTGCAATTCCATTCTAGGAAACATTTTTCAAACTCATTTGTTTGGATGGCTGACAGCACCTCCCTCGTTTTTTTCTTCACCTCTTCTACATTATCAAATCACTGTCCTCTCATGTTCCTCTTCATTCACAGAAACAAAAAGAAGTTGTACAGACTAAGGTCAGGTGAGTAAGGTGCATGGGGCAAGAGAGGCATGCTGGTTTTTGTCAAAAACTGGCACACTGAGATGGCTGCATGAGCAGGTACATTGTCATGGTGGCAAAACTGGTCCTTTTTTTTGTCGCACTGTTATGCATTCTTTTCAGAAACTCTAAATAAAAGGCTTAATTAGCAGTCTGACCTGGTGAAACAAATTCTAAATGCCAAGGAGACGATATTTTCATCCATTCAGGAAGTTCATGGACACCCAGAGGAGGTTTATCATCAATTGACACTTCACCTTTTTTTGAAATGAGAAAAACACTCAAACACTTGAGATTTTTCCATAGTGTTGTCATTGTAAGTTGTGTTCAACATCACAACAGTTTCTGTGGCATTTTTCCAGAGCAGGAAATAAAATATCACAGCTGCACGCTGTTCTCTTAAATCGGCCATCACAAAAAACGAGGTTCAAGCAAAACTGCCTTTACGAAAAAATTCACTGTGACCAGAGAGAACCTTACCAGGTGACGCCACTGGGTGCGCTAACTCAGAGCCAGTAGCTTGATGCCCACCCAGTGAGAAAAATGCATACTACGTAAGTTCTGCCCAGTGGAGCTTTTTTTCCAGTTTTTTTGGGGGTACCCCTTGTACTCATATTATTTGGGAACACCTGTCATTTTAATTCATTCAACTTGTTAGTTGACTAAACCTTCATATTCATTGCCTAAGTACAAAATCACACATGAGCTTATAGACAACATTTCTACAACAAAAATTTTACAGGCTTACTAAGTGACTACTAATGCAAATAATTAAAACTAATGATATAAAGCTGTGCATCACATCCAGGCTGACAGAAGGCACCAAGGGGTGAAATAATAGTGTTTCTGAGGAAGAAAGGAATAAACAATGGACAAGAAAGATTACGAAGTGCCTTTAGTTAAAGAGATGTGCCAAAAGGACGATAAATCAGAACCAGAGTTTGGTAAGCAAGAGCAGGGGTCCCCATCCAGTGGTGAAAGAAACTAGTGCAATGGCTGTGACGTCTCCCGGTCAAGCATCTGAGCTCATTACATTGACATTACTGGGATACCTCCTGGGACATCACAGTGTTGTCCTCTGGACTCTCCCTAGTCACACTCATCTTAAAGACAACTGTTTTCATTCCTTCTTCTCTCTCCGTGAGGCCACAGCTCTGGGAATAAGTGAAAACTAATTTATCCTCCCTGAGCAACAGGATCTCGGCTCACCATGCAGGATTTAAATGGCATTTGTCTCATCACCAGCAGGACAGTGAGAATCAAAGAGAATGAACCTCAAAGATTTTGAGCCTTCTGGAGGTCCTTTATAATGGGTATTGCATTGAACTTTCTATAACGTCGTACAGGTCAAAACCCACTAAACATTCACATCCCTACCTGTCACAGAGCTGATGGAGTAATGGAAATAAAAATAGATGAAGCAACATCTGCCCTACTGTTAAAAAAATATCCAGATGAATGTGACTATCGATCAAAACTACCAAATGTTTTCTAAAATCTTTTTTTTATTGTCTTCCAGAACTACATTTTTTTTTCTTTCTTTAGAAATACTTTTAACACACACCTAAGGTAGAAACTGAAATGTCTGCTTGCTGCTGCTGCTCTTAACTGCCATCCAGCAGGCCCCAATTCATGACAGCACCAAACACAGCAGGACTGGACCACTGTTATCTGTAAGGCTTCCAGTTGCCAAGACCTCTGGGTCATATCTTCCTAGTCTGTGCTGATCTGTAAGTTTCAGTATCATAGCAACATTCAAACCTCCACAGAGATGAGTGATGACATCACTCAAGGTCTATCGGCCAGGACTTTAACCCAGGTCTTCCACATGAAATAGGGGAATCCTTACACTGAACCACCACCACTGCTGCCCAGTGGATTGTGACTCATGTGTACCAACGTAAAACAGTCCCTCAGAATTTTCAGTAGCTAAGTTTCCAGAAGGTGGGGATGGTTCTGTAGTGGGTTAAGGATTGGGCTACTAGCCACAAGGTTAGCAGTTCAAAACCACCAGCTGTTCTGTGGGCAGTCTTTCTTTCTGCTGTGCGTAGAATTGCTAGGCGTTGGAACCTAACCACAATGAAGGAGCCCTGAAGGTAAGCAATGAAATGCTGGACCGCTAAATGAAAGACCAATGGTACAACCCCCGCCCCTCTCCGGCTGCTTGCTGGGAGAAAGATGTGGCATTAGGCTTCAGTCAAGATTTACAGCCCTGGAAACACCATGGAGGCATCTCTCTCCCAAGGGTTCCGATGATTCAGAACTGACTTATTCAAGAAAACAATAATTGCAAGGTCAAGGGTGCTACCAGGGACACACCTTCATGTTATGCGAGACTTCATGTTAATCAAAGAAAACTGATAACTCACCCAGTTTGGGAGTCATGTTGCCGACGACAGTAAATTCGGGAATTTCTGATCCCGGAGCATATCCGGCGGTCCAGGCAACCGTGAGAGAGCCGTACGTGCCTCGCCTGGAAACCACCACCCGGCTGCTCCCAGCAGGGATGTCCGTGAGCTGAAAAGCAGTCGACTCAAATCCAACCTAAGGAAAAAATGTGCTTGGGGTATTTATTTCTCCTTCATGTTTTCTATTTCCTGAAAGAGTAGGCTACATGACATCTTTCTTTTGTTTATAGAATATGTATTCTTATATTTTAAAATATACTTACTCAGAGGAAATGATTAAGAAATGACACTTAAGAGTTAAAATTTTATTCTATCAGATTATAGTTGCTAGAGGAACCCAGTTTTATTTTCATTATCAAATTGTACCCATCGGAGTGAATAATAGCCATAAAAGATTAATGTGATAATGATTAAATAAGGAGGGACAAGTGTAATTTAACAGGGCTTATCTATGGATTTTTCCAGATTCTAATTTGCCCAGATTGAAATTATTTTTAAAAGATATAATAAACTTCTTCATTTATAAAATCAGCAAGATAAACAAGACTTTATCTTAAGGCCCTTTTCAGCTACTTAATTCAATGTGATATTTTCTTTCCATTGAGGATCAGAAAGATTGAAAAAAAACACCCAACAAGCGACGATCTTTTAATCCTCAATAAGTACAATTGTACGGCAGCACTTGCGCCAGGCTTCTTTTCATCACTGTGGCCTCACACTGGAAGGAGTAAGAAATAAGGACATTTTCACCATGGCTTCGACCTGCGCCGAGGTTTCCACTCCACAGACAGCGGCCGTCCTCCCGCCCCCCTCTACCGGGAGAGCCACGTCCTGGTGTGCAGTGGTTACCTGCTCAGCAGCTTTACGAAAGGTCAGGGGTTTGAACCCACCAGCCACTCCTCCAGAGAACTCTGCTTCCAGAAAGATGTACCACCTTGGAAACCCCGTGGGCCCAGTCTAGTCTATTCTTTAAGGTCCCAGTGAGTCTGAGTTCACTCCACACAGGGAGGTGATATTGGGAGAATCCGTCTAAAAGCATAAAGCCCCCAGTTTGCTCTTGGTTTTCACTTGAATTTTCAAGTACTTGGACAATAATCTTTCCTGAAATGAGATCAACTAGAAGATCTATATCAGCATCAACCAAAACTCAAAAGTTGAAGAAAAAAATGGCAATATCAGTAAAAGAAAAAGGCAGATGCTACACTCTAACTTAATGACTTTCATGAGCTGTTTCAATATTTCGATCTTCAATACTGAGGAAATGCATGGACGCTTTGACTACAGATGACTTGCATTAAAATTTCTAGATCCACAGGACTAGTTAGATTTTTTAAAATTTATTTTTAAAATAATTTTACTGGGGGCTCATACAGCTCTTAAAACAATCCATACATACACCCCTTGTGTCAATCACATTTGTACATTTGTTGCCATCATCATTTTCAAAACATTTTCTTTCTGATTGAGCCCTTGGTATTGGCTCCTCATTTTTTTCCCTCACTCCTCCACCCTCCTTCCCTCATGAAGCCTTGATAACTTATACATTATTATTATTTTGTCATGTCTTACACTGTCCAATATCTCCCTTCACCCACTTTTATGTTGTCCATCCCCCTGGGAGGGGATTATATGTAAATCATTGTGATATTCCTGCTCAAAGCATCCAATGCACAGAGGACCATAGGGCTGGCACCACCATGATACACGACATTGTTCACTGACCCAGAGCACTAAGAGGGACAACACTGGAGGCACAGTGTGCGAATCATGCCTGATCTGACCCCACCACAGCATGGCAAAATGCT